ACTCCTTTGATACAGCCGTCACGTCGGGATAACGTCAATTGTGGTTAGTTGCCATGCACTGAAGTTGATTTATGTAGCAGTGTCCAGGGGTAGCATCCTCGCGAGCATCAGTGCTTCATATCAGCTTCTGGTGTTTCTAATACGCAGGTCCCAGTTGGCATCATTGCGCAAGTGCCAACAACTGGTTATGTAAAAATATGCAACTCTTCAACATATGTCGGTGCGTGCAACACTTGTACATACATTTAGCGTCATTTTATGACGTGTTTCTCAATAAAAAGATTGCAACACGGTTGCCTTCTCTCTGCATGCTTCGCATAAAGTTGAGTCCCAGGTGCGTGGGATCTGCTTTTTTTTTTGTTAAGAAAAATTAATGCCAAGTTCAAGTCTCAGTCGTCCTCCGCAGGCGGCTATTAAATGTGTTTAAAAACAAGTCAAAGCGAGAATGGGTACGTCATTCAGCGTTTAGGCAGACCCGTTCTTGCTTGGCAGCGAAAAGCAAGGCTAGAGTGGCCACTCTTTACGAACGTATATTTCTCTATGAACTGTCCGCAATATTGTTACGGGCCCCGCCGCGGTGGTATAGTGGCTAAGGTACTCGGCTGCTGACCCGCAGGTCGTGGAATCGAATCCCGGCTGCGGGGACTGCATTTTTCGATGGAGGCGGAAATGTTGTAGGCCCGTGTGCTCAGATTTGGGTACACGTTAAAGAACCCCAGTAGGTCGAAATTTCCCGAGCCCTCCACTACGGCGTCGGTCATAATCATGTGGTGGTTTTGGAACGTCGAATACCACATATCAAATAATGTTGTTACGTGGTCGTGACTAACGTAGGATTCTATAGTGCGTCCGAAAGGAAACTTCTTATTTCGTTAAGCTTATGGCCAGAAATGGAAATTCAAACTACAGCAAGCAATGCGCGCTGTACAGGAAGGGTCGTCTGTACACTGATATCGGTGAACAGAGCGTCGGCCGTCGATAACCTGACCCGCGGCAACGCGCGTCGGCATTTATACACGCGGCGTCGAACATTCGAGCGTTATCACTGGTGGCCGAGCTTGTTTCATAATACTCAGCTGTGCGCGCTTGCGCGCTTGGTCCACACAGATAATCCGAAACCTATCTAGAATGCTGTAAGACATTCTTGTGTGGATCACGCACGGCAGTATCTACATGATCCATACGCCGGCAATATAATATATAGAAAGTAGGGTGTGTGGCAGTACGATTATCAGCAAATTCATTTTGGCGACAAGTTGAGCTGCATGGATAGACGCGACTTTACACAAAAACAGTGTTTTCCACATGGACAGCAGCGCTGCATAAATGAGAAAAATTACCGTCCGCACACGAAGATGAGGCATACCTGGTTTTGTTGAGCCTATATACCGCTTCGCTGACGTCGTTCCCAAACAGTCGAGAAGGCCACTTTGAAATGTTCATGGCTCGGTGTCTGTCCCTTGCGACAGATTGCGCGTTAGGAGTCGTAGGTTCGATTTCCTACATAGGGCACATGTCTCTGCCATGGTATGCGGCTTCAGCTTCGAGCAGACGGCGAGTAGCGGACGAGGTGCATGGCAGCGACGTAGAGGGTGTCCCTGTATACTTGGTCTTTGTTTCGGACACCATGCTGGAGCTGGCGCAGTTTGCAGGTCTTCGTTGCTTCTTGTCACCTGCTGCGCCCTACGCGCCTGCTGCACCCTACTCACTCGCAGCCTTGCAACCACTTGCGGTAACGCCGGTTTTTCATTTTTTGTTGCTATCGCATGCACTGAGCTTTGCATTTACAGCCAAACCGATGACAATTCAGTTGATCAGAGATAATTTTCCTTTTGCCAGGTAACGTCCCCATGAATTCCACAGAACCCTCTAAATGACGACTATCATGCTTTGACGTAATATAGTGATGCCAACTCATTAAAAAAAAAAACCGAGGTGCCCTTGTTAAAATAGAGATAACAAAATACACGCATTCATCAGAAAATGCCAGCGCTCAGCTGTGGTGACTTGTATTTTAAACGAATTGCGCTCCCACATGAAAAAATACACATGTTTTAGCAGGCCTGGCGTTTTTTAGCAGGCTTTCATTCTTAAAAAAAGGCACTGACAAACAATTTGGCCTCCCGTTTTTTTTTTCAGTGCAATATGTTACTGAAGAGCTGTTAGTCATAACATGGCGCATTGTTTGCTGCATATTGTAACAATTATTGACAGGTTTCTTATTACCAATCAGTTTCAGTTTTGTTGTGAGTGAGCTTCAAAAACGACAAGCCGCCGAGTGTAGCTATATTACGACATAGCATGTGCAACTTTCAATCACATTAGCAGATAGCAAATGTGGTGCACTTGCACACGGTGATCATCAAGAAGTCATTTCGAAGAGGAAATGGGGAAGCACTGTCACCAGACACCACTTTCAGCGCCTGCGACATGGTTATAGACTAGCGAGCAGCTGCCTACGCGGCAAAAGAAAAAATGACGGCTCCGATATCATCATACCTTGTTGCAACTTGATCAAGTAAGAAAAATAGGGGGTCATCTAGAGTGGCCTTTGAGAATGTCAATAGGACGGAGTCGATCGCTTGTGCAATCTTCAAAAATAATTTAAAATGACTTCCAAGCTACATTCGCTTTCGAGATTTTGCTGATGATATGCGTCACAGCAATCGACCCCGCAGGCAATGTCGGCTACGAGCTTTTGTGTCAGTACTCTTTTCATATATGATCATCGACATATCAAAAAAACGAACGACCAACAAATTGCGGCCGAGTAGCTAATGCCAGCATGTTTTCTGCCAACTTCTCCAAGCCACAGAGTTGCTTTGTTGTTTTCTTTATCGCGATTGTATAGTAACTGCCGCATTTACTATAGGGTTTGTGTAGCGTTTCCCAAGAACACAAAAACATAACACGTTGCAAAATATTTTATTAACGTTTATTTTCTTTTATGTACACATTTACAAACTCACGATAACATATGCTGCTTCCCTTCCAGGTAGTCGCACTTTTGGAAAGCACCAGTGCGCAGTGTATAAACACGACAGTACAGGAACAACGAGCCCCACAAGAATGCTTAAACATAGTGCACGTCACAGTGCATACGCAGGTGACTTCATCGTGCGTGATAGGTAGTAAGAATAAGAGAAACCTATGTTTTGGGCCCATACTTTAGTCGCGTTCTCCAGCCGTCACTCTCTCAAGAATTTCTTATCCGTGATTTTGCTGATGTGAGAAAGGAACATTTGTAATCAAATATCACAGTTTACTAGTGCTCTCAAGAGTTTATTTTCGAAATTATTACGTCACTAGGCCCGCAACGAGCTACGTGCGGTACACTCACTGCTGCTGCAGTGTGGCTTGCCTTTCGAGCAACCAAGTACTTTCAGTCAAATGTTGCCTGACCGAGAAGGGGGAAAAAGGCATGCAGCACACTGACCATGTTTAACCTGTCCGTAGAAGGCATACACAGAATCAAAGACGTTGCCGTGAGTGGCAGTCTTACTGATGCGATTTAGTGACCGTAGTTTTTGGTACAGTCCACCTAACCTGATTCAGTGCCGTGTTGTACTAAATGATGATGAAAAAGATATCACCAAAAACACAGTCATCGCCAGTAAGTTTTCCTTTTTGTCGGCGAGAACAGCGAGGGACCCTGAAACGCTTGTCGCAATTTCTACTTGAACAAACAGCCACAAGATGTCCCCACTTTCAACGTTTACCTTCAACGTTTAAGGTCATTTTTTCAACTCTTGTACCCATCCAGTTCCGCACATTGCTCGAAGTGTACATGTTAAACTTATCTGCCTTGAATCAAGTGAATACTCCCCTACACCACTCCATGCCTCTACTTTCTTGCCCCTGTTTATGTCAACCATGGTTTAATTCGTGGAGTATTCGTCCTGGTAAAGGGAAGTACAATTTGTTGCTCTCATATTTTTCTAGCAGCAAAAGAGTCATCATCGGCAGACACCAGGAGATTAGGCTAAGCAACTCCTTATGGCAGTGAAATCCGAAATTTGATCTTCCGCATGACCATGCTCGACAACCGTTGAGGCTCGATGTGCTGTTGCGTTGAGCTGTGGTCGCAGTGTTCACTTGCTTCCAAATGTACCAAGCTGCGGATACAGAGAATACATTCGTTAACCGCCTATGCATTCCAAGAAACTGCTGTGTTCATCGGAGGTTTCAGCGACCACGGGGGCATAACAGGACGACTTCTCTAGAGGCCATTATGTCACCAATAAAAAAATAATAGGCTTTTCATTATTGTAGAAACTTCTTCAGCAATTTTTTTTTATCGATAGAGAATATAAAGACACTTTCAGCGAATTCTCATCGTCACTGTCGCCGTCGTGTCCAGCATACCCATACGTATATGTAAGTAAAAGCCCCCCAAAATATAAATCAGAAGGACACATTTTCGAAGTGCCCCACCAGTATTCGGACCTGTGACCAATTACTCCAGAGCCAGAGACACGCGGCCACTTTTTTTGTTGTTGTTGTTGAAGCAGCTTACCATCTCTCTAGTCTGGTTGTATCTGTGCAACTGCGTTCTTTATTTTAAATGGCTACGTACGATGTCGTCATGAGACGCATCAAAGAGCTCCAGATATAAATCAATATTGATCTTTCATAAAAACACAACAACTGTTGATTGCAAAAGTGTGATAATTACGACAAGATGGTAATAACTAAAAATATACAGCTGGCAATCAGATGTCGATACACTTAAGATAGCGTCATCTTTTTATTAAAATAAAGCCTGAAGATTTTGAAGCAGTTATCGTTTAGTAACATTAGACGAGACGGCAAGGAACGTTTGCAAATATATCGGTACTTACTGATACATAGCAGACAAGAGGCCATTATTCTCTGGCAAGACTGCTCGCATTATGTCCTTCAACACAATGGTATTACGGCAACCTGTAATACGAATGGTACATGTCGAGTTCCAGCTTCAGTTTGAAAAAGAAGAGCACATCTCTAGAACTTACCGCACGTCATAACCTGTGCATCTCGTCCTCATCGAACACTTTAGATTTGCTCGAGACATAGAAAAGCTGAGAACCATCTCGACTCCTGCGAAATTTGAAAAGAAAGTCTGTTTTACCCGTAATGTTTGCCTTCTCGTTTATTTTTACCATTTTTTTTTTTTTTGCGAAGTGGGACAATAATTTTGGTTCCCGTGTGAGTGGTTGTGTTTTTAATTTGACTACATATATCCCGATGCTAAAAAAGAGGGAAAAGACTTACATGCCCGTAGAAGTCTGAGACTTTCGAGACTGGATTGCTATCTGTTCCACTGAAAGAGAGAAAAGGAAAAAAGAAATAAAACAAGAATGAAAATCATTTTTACATTTACTGATCCGGATGCATTGTATTAGAATTCTTTGTGAAGAAAACACGATAGCGACCTTCTAATAAATATGACGACTTCCTAAATTACTTCCTAACAAACAATAGAGCTCGAAGCGCTTTCCACACTTCAAATATGGCCACATGCTATATAGGATCTTATAGTGCATTGAATAAGCCTTATTGTTCTTATACAGTGTACACACATCGCACGAAGCCATCATTCAGCTTATTTTGCATTCACAGAAATAGCTTACGACAGACTTGTTCGCAAGAGCAATGTTCAGTTGGCCGTTACGCTGCACATACAATCATAAACAAGCAGCTGGCTAATCAGAACGAGCACTTGCAAACAAAATCCTTTGCGTTTTCAGTCCCAGTACTGCAAACTCGTGTCCAATAGTAAGAGACTTCACGCAATAATACGTCCGTCTAGAGGCTCATTATTGTGCAGTTGTCTCGTTATCACAACCATTGTTGACAGCCAATGATGAACCACTCAGAAGATGTCTTTAAGCAAGAGAAATTTCATGAATATAAGCAAAGTATACGTGAAAAATTAGGAGGCTCTTAAGCTTCGCCTTTAGGAGTTGAACGCGATAGCGCAATCCGGCCCCTAGTGCGCCCTTCAACCGCTAAGTGCATACTTATTATTATTTGTTACACACACACGCATGCACTCAAACGCGCACACGCGTGCAAGCGCGATGTATCTACAGTAATGCAGTGACTGTGCAGTGTGGCCACTTCCCTCTGCTAGAACGGCGCTTTGCTGTAGTCGAGACACGTTTTTTACAATGTCTCACAGATGGCACAAGCCATACACACTCACGCGCGCTCACTAAGTGGACGGCACTCACTATACACCAGAACGCAGCTAGCTCAGTGCTTGCTGCCATATTGAAAAGCGCGTTGCGCCATCTGTTGGAAGCGTGGTGAAGCAACACCGTCAACTGCCACGCGAGCAGACGCTCAGCAAACTAAACGCAAAACTTCACAACCCGAGTGCGGCTGTAATTCTTGTTTCGCGCTGTTCCGGTGTTGGAATTTTATGCTGATTTTGCGTGAAACGTCGAGGAGACCTTTCTCGACAGTCCGGAGCACGTGCATTGCAGACTGCGGAAGCAACTCCATCCGGTACGTATTATCCGACTGAAAGAAACGCGAACAGCGTTAACTGCGGCGTGCCTTGGCTGTGACAAGGCAGAATTTGTGCTGTAAGCCGGCGTCAACGTAGCGCTAGAATCTGGCTCCTACTTACACTCATGCACCGCATGCGTATCAATTGCCAGTCCTGCCGGGCAGTTGGAACACACACGCGTTGCAAAAGTGCCAGCCAGAACAAGATTTTAAAATGCTATGGTGACGCCGGCCGAAGCACACGTAGGTTCGCCTAGTGACAAATAAGGCATGTCGCAGTTCGACCAAGTCAAAAGTCATGCTTTCCGTGCCTTTCACATCTCTTTTCATCGCGATAGTAGGCGTTACAGTTGTACTAAACATGTGCGGCGCGTGCATCCACGCGTGAGTCGTAATACGCATATCCTATTATTGACATGCGGCCTGCAAAAAGAGTACGGCAATAGTTTTGTGCCGCCTACTACAGGCATACTGCACGCAAATCGCTGCTGTAAAGTGGAACAGCTGGAGTCGCGCTTGAATAAACGCAATAAGTATACTTACTCCTACACTCCACTGGGCTCAGTAGTTTTTCCTGCTGATTCCGATTATATCCTATAGGGAGGCCGAGCTCAGCGTTTTTTTTGTTACGGACGGAAATCTGTGCAATCGCAAAACACCGCACCGGCACGATTCCCGCAATTAGCTGTGAACTTCACAGGCAGTGTTCAGCAATCTCTTCCTCTTGCGCTGGTTGTTGTCGCATTGGATGACAGCGCAGTGGCACCCAGATGACATTTTATAAGCGGGCGCAGCGTGAACGTGCGCTTTTTCGCATTTTAAACTCCCAGAGCCACTGCATGCCATGCTATAAAGGCGCGCCTTTGCAGTTCCAACTTATGGCGTCTCTGGGAGCGAGGGTATATCACCAAAGGCGCCTGGGCGCGAGATAGGCGCGCTCTCGTCTATACTATGGGGAAGGCTTGCTGTTCGGGTTGAATTTGACGCTGATAGTACATACAGGTTTTTAATCTAAAACAAGAGACGCATGGCCTCCAAGATGTACAACGCGCACTCGCCATATTTGTCATAAAGAATCTCACAATGCCTCACATATGGCAGCACATTATCTAGCGTTTGCTGTTTGCTTGATCACCGTCTCTGAAAAGGCATGATATATTTTTCGCTAGATGGACATAGTTGTCCCTTTTTAGAGCTGTTTGAAAGTTTCTGTGAGTTCATAGCGGCGATGGCTGCACTATCCCGGCCTTTTTCTATGTAGTTTGATTGCCTCCCAAATGCGCCTACAAATCACCGAATGGACTCGTTATCGTCGTGACACCTGTCGAACATAATGCGTTGAGACGACTCCTTCCACTACATGGCATATATGTAGTGTTGTTTCTCAAAGCAGCTGCAAGTAACGTTGTAGCTGTGTGGTAGGACACCTGCTTACCACGCGAACGGCCTGGGTTCGGTCCTTAATGGGACCGAAATTTTTATTCCTTATTTTATTTTATTTGCTTGTTTCTCAATTTTTCACTCACTGACAATTTTCCGCTTACAACCAACGGTGCCAACACCGACGGCGGAATTTCTGCGACATGAGCTCTCCAACGCTACCGCGTTAAAAGCACGAAAGTTCCCCAATGCAATGCTTGCGTCGACGTCGATGTTGATTTGCTTTTTTCAATTTAGGGCATCGTCCATGCTGCGCTCAACGGTCTTCAGCATATAAGATGTAGGCACTTGGAACACTATACTTGTTTCCTTTGCATCAAGATTGCTGTTCCGTGAAAAAAGACGACTGACGTATTTTACGTCGACATGCTGCAACACTCATTAACTTTTTCTTTGGGCTTTGCTTTTTTAAAATTAATTTTTGTGTTACGTTGTCTCTTTGAACCTGATTTTGCGTCATCCATTGGACGTGTTTTCTTTACAATATTAAACGACCACATTACCCAATCACTGCAGACACTCGCCTTCTATGAAAAATAGACTTCTCGTAAGAAAACGCTCTCTAACTCGTGTAACTGTACCTGGCCTTTTCTGGGCGTAAGGCACATCATAAACTCTGTGTGGTACAGCGTAAGCTGATGATCCTCGGGATGAGCCACCACCGCAGTACGTCGGTTCGGCAGTGCTCAGCACTTCACTTTTGTAACGCTCGCCGCACACGCTACCTGCGAGTAAGAAAAAGAAAAGCCGATTACTACAAATAACATAGCACTCATTTACAGATTATTATCGTGTTTTAGCCTCCAACACCACAGAGAGAAATGTCTATACATCGTGCGAGGCATGGCTGCGGGTTATGCTCTTTTTTCTCAAACAAGGGCGTAGTCATAAGTTTTCAAGTTTTGTGCGCGTTTTGTGTGTTCGGGCATACCTTTGCATATATACACACATAAAATTGACAAAATATGGAGGGAGGGCTAGCACACACCCTCCACCATCCCTCTTCTCCTTGGCTTTGCTAGTGTTTTCAAGGTTCCCAGGAGCAAACTGCAGATAAATACAGAAACCTAAAGGTCACCATTCACAACCTGTCACCAGTAACTTCATTGTTTCTTGCTTATTTCATTAGTCTGTTTCAGAATATAGGTTCATAAAGATAGCAGGCGCTGTCTCCTGTTTGTGAAGTGTAAGATGCCTAGAGGAGCATTACATCAAGCATTCTCAACTCACCCCCCCCCCGCATTAACTGTGCGAATCAACTGCACGTCCCTGAACCAGGCGTCAAGTCTCGCCGGCCACACAAACTCGGTCGTTGAATCCATGGAGCATATCAGCACTTTCCTACACTTTCTGCACGAATCCAATCTGTTCGAGTATCTCTGAGCAAGCTCTTGATATAGAAAGAAAACCTAACTCACCCTGTGGCGTGCTTTGCGCAATAGTGCCATCGTCCGTGTGCCGCCGCATCACACACCAAAGCACCGCCAGCACCACGACGAGCACCAGCACAGAGCTGCCAATGGGCAACGTCACAGTTAGGTGCCGATATAAGGACGCCATCTTGGCATCCAGTAAGTGTGGCTTGTGTGAAGGCACGTCTGAAACACAAGTAGCATATTCGGTATTAGTATGACTTAAATAACAACCTTAAAAAGATTCTGTATCTATGACACATTCGGACCGACCTCACACCTCTTGAAGTGTATAAGCTCGAATTCAATACTCGATTACGGCGACATCCTCGCGTGGTACAGGGAGCAACGGCGTGGCTTCCCGCCTCCGCACAGGGATCTTACCCGGTGGGAGGCGGTGAGGTTGCGCCAGCTCCAAACCGAGACTGTGCTGACCCCATCGCTAGCGCGACACGTGTGCCCCGAACTCTACGTGAGTGAAATGTGCAGTGTGTGCGCGAGCGCGAGAGCCACCCTGGCTCACATACTCTGGGGATGTGACGCAGACAGCGCGGACGGTCCGGTGTTACCGCCGCAAGTAGAACAGCGTGTGGGGTCTACGGACCCAGAAGACCAGCGAAGGGCCGTCCGGCAGCTCGAGGTCGCACTGGCGCTGCAAAGGCGAAAGGGGGACACCCTCAGTAACCCGAGCGGCGACGGGGCACGAAGGCCTTGAGGTCTAGGCCCGCGTGACATTAGGACTTCTAGTGTAACGTGAGATAGGGTGAACCCCACGCCCTGCGCGGCCGGAGGGAATCCCGCATGCTGGAACCCAATAAAGTTTATTCTCTCTCTCTCTCGAATTCAATATGAAAGTACTAGTGATTTCGAACGCAAACCCTCAATCACAGACGTCAGCAGGGAAGTGCAAAAGCGGCACATCATGCTTTCCTACCCCCCTCTCAAACTCACGACATTGCACCCACCACCCCAAGCCCCACCAGCACTTTTACCTTACTTACCGTTATGCAACATGGGTTTGCAACCATTCCCCAAGTGAAATCTTTTCGATGCCTGTGCCATTAATCGAACATTATAAGATCGTACCATGGCAGGTCACGAGAAAACATACTGAACATTTGACATTCTGAGGTCGGCGTGGCATGAGTTAACGGTTATAAGTTTCTGCAGAGGCCAGAACGAAACAAACCTCCATCAGGCGTAAGTGTGGCAAAGTTGACCTGAGCCGTGGTGCTGCCGGCATCGTTGTGGGCAACCATGAGCAGCACGTACCAGGACCCAGACTGCAGGTCAGAGAGGACCAGAGACTCGTCGAGCCTGTAGGGAAGGTGGCTGGACACAAGAGTCCAGTCTGTCTCGGTGTTGCGTCTGTAGTGGACGGTGAAGTGGCTGATTGGGCATCCGCCATGCCACCACGCTTCGGGGTGTAGCCAGGCGGCGCTGGAGTTGCTCGCCACCAAGCGATCCGGCTGCTGGAGCACGGGGCCTACGAAAAGTGGCAGGTAGCTATCGGAAACGCACTTTTCAGTGTCTTGGTGGCGAAGCTCCTTAGAGCCTAGCATTATTGTCATCCACACCAGCTTTATTGTCATCCGCGCCAATAAGGCTAGCTTCAAGAGAGTCGAACCAAAACAGAACACCTGCACAATAAAAACATAAAGAACTGTGTAAAAACCGACTTTATCTGCACATCAATCACCTATGGGACAGCACAATACATGATCACCTGCGCCGTTCGTCTATGCGTGGCCAGTCCGTGCGTCTGTCCATCAATCCATTCATTCGTCCATACCTGCGTCCCTTCGTTAATCCGTTTGTCCGCATCCATCTGTCTATCTGTCCGTGCATCCATCCGTTAATATGTCTGTCCATCCGTCCGTGCTTCCGTGCGTTCATGCACCTCTCCGTACCTCCATCTGTCCACCGTTTATTCTAGTCGGCAACTTCGACGTAGATATTATGAACCTTAAAACCTAGCTTCACCCACTTGTCATCATGCACTTTCTAATTTAAAATTGTCATCATGCATTAAAATTTTAAATTGTCATCATGCATTTTCTAATTTAAAAAAAATTATACACACAAAATTATGGGGAGTCCTGTGATGTCCATAAAACATCCTTGTCATTTCTGCGCAAGTAATGCCTGTAAGCTTTTTAGCTTAAGTACTCAATTCTCGGTTGTCTTCGCTCTGAAAAGTGTAAAACCTATCATTGAAGTTTCCTGCTTTAAACTGTGAGACAGAAGAAAAACTTCTTTTTAAAACTTCTTTTTCTATCTTCGAGCTTTCGGTTGAGGTGTTCATATCTACAGGCAGACTCTGGTTCCATAGGGGAAACTAATTGAGCATGGCTCTACGAGAAAACGTTGTTTCACCGGCTTCTGTCTGGTCTTATTAAGACTTTATTATCCATGAAGATAAAATTAGGACAAGAGCGTTCATGCATTTCGACCGCAAGAACATGCGGCCGGCGGATGAACCGATTGAATCCGTGACCCGCATCATGACAGCGCACTCACTAAAATATTGCAAAAGTATGAGTCACACGAAACGGCAGTGGTCAGAATATATTTGTCTGTACACATCATGAAAGAGCAGTTCAACCAACTGACTTGTTTTAACAATACTGATGCGTAAAACTTACGGTTTCCTTCAGTGGAGGCGGTGACGACATTCCCTTCGGGCCCACGTCCGACGTCACTGGCTGAGTGCATGCGCAGTTGGTGCCTCGTGCGCACACGCGAGACTGGACAGCGAAAAACTGGTGCGGTCGCCGCCCACTGACTGCTCCCGCCACGAGTGCTCGTCACCTTCTAGTCGCCATGACACGTAGTAATCTGCGCAAGAGGCAGATGCAAAATAAAGATTGGACTTAAGGAACACCAAGAAATAAGCTTTAGTTAGAATGCCGGCACTGAAACGGATAAAGTGGATTTAGGTGAAAGTCCGGTGGAGAGGTAGAGAGGCCAATGTAAAGAAATTAGATGTGCTAACCTCGCCGGGTTATTGAAAATTTCACTAGTTTTACGGGCTTTGAAGTTGGTCACAGTGGCTAGTTTTATTGTGAATCAAGCGTAACGGGATATTGGGGGGGGGGGGGGGGTAGGAGTGTTGTGGAGACATAAGTGTTTCGCGCACAACGCTTATGTAACTGAGCACTGGGAGATAAAGTCGTGGCGTATTATGCTTTCCTCACCAAGTGCGCAGAACGGCTACCGGTTTTGTTCATTGACGTAGTTTACTAGGAGTTGAGAGAAAAAAAAATGGGGGAACCTTAAGCTTCACCTTTAAAAGTATAACACGATAGCTAAATTCGGCCCCTAGTGCACCCTTCAACTGCTAAGTGCATACTTATTGATGTGTTCTGTTAAACACACACGCACGCACACAAGCACGCACGCACACAGTAGGTTGGACCAGCGCGCGCTATTATCGCCAAATGGGCTTGGTTTTGTCGTGACACCTGTCGAACAAAATGCGTTGAAGGGGCCCTGAAACACTTTTTCAAGATAACCACGGAATGATTTCACTAGAAGAGCTTACTGCCTCGCGAATGCAAGACTGCAAAAATTTTAAGAATCCGTCCAGTGCGAGTGGAGGTACAAAGGTTTGTTGCATGCTGCGATTGCATTATCTCTTTTCTCGTTCCGACGAAAGCACTGCAGAAGCTAAGCAGGAATGGGTGGCAGGGCAAATAAAATACCGCGCCTCGTGACCTTGAGCACTTTTTTTTTCGAATGCACGGATTTGTCAGTGTGATCGCGCGTGCACGCGTGGACAAGTAGCGACCTCCCGCTGCTATCTCGGTAAGTTGATTTTTCGGTCACAGACCATTTTTCCCTCACAACCAATGGGGCCGACGCCGGCGGCGGGTTTTCTGCGACACGAGCTCTATAACGCTATCGCGTTAAGCACAATGGAAAGTTGGCCACATACTGCTCTTTTCTGTCTGTGTTGAAGCAAGCGTAAATACACTTTGTAGCAATACACAAGGCTATAAAAAGTACTCTGATTTTTATGCGCTTCCTTTTTATCCATAAACGTAGAAAGAGACATTCTGTACTCTTCGGCCGCTTAAAAACACTGTTTTCGCATCGGTGTTAGAGAGTGATAAATGAAGGCGCCGGAATTTTTTTGTTGGGGTTGCCGCTTGAGCGAGTTGGTTCGTGTTTAAAAGAGAAAAAAACAGTGCGAAATTCAAACAGACACAAAATAAAGAAGGCTCAGACAGACTCAAGATGAAGAAGGCTCATGTCATGCCTTCATCATCTTGTGTCTGTCTGAATTTCACGCTGTTTTTTTCTTTTCGACTCTTTTAAAGACTTTTCTTCCTGTTTGAACACTTTCTGCAACCATAACGTTCGGGACATTATGCGTAGGATTCAATACTGCACACGTAGTTCGGTATTCTTAGTTTAGACTAATGCTCGTCAGGATAAAGGGAAGTTTGCAGCTTCCTCACAAAATATTATAGAGCCTCTTTTTCACACCTTATTTCCACTCGAACACTTGCAGCATATCAAGCTGCGAATTTTTCAGCCCTCGTGTATGGTGAATGCACTTGCTAAAGTATTCACTTCAGAAAGCAAATGTCTGAAACACGCCTATTTGCACACCGAACTGTTCGGGCCCTTGCTGACTCCATCCACTGAATAAGACGCGGAACGGGAAAATTGGATGATCAAGCCATCGTTCGAACACCACGGCTGCTCGATAAAAACAGAGCGAGTGGACGTGCAGATGCTATGCAATCCCTCAAGGACATTTGAATGACGTATGAAGGGTATCATAATAACGTTGCATTCCACAAGAAAAGTTTTTTTTATCTAAACACGTGTCAATTTCACCTGAAGTCATTCTGATACATAAGGATATTTCGAATTTCTACCATTTCTTCGCAAGTTTACCAGGAAAGTACGTTTCCAGGAACACGCTGCGCATTCGACCGGCAAACCACGCTACTTTCTCAATAATGCAGCGGGTAGGCTTACTCCTTATAGGCGGATCGTCGAGTGGGATGGCCGGCCTCTCCCAAGCCAGCGAAATGGTCCGAGCCGAAGTGCCCACAACACGGTACGTTGGCGGTGGAGGGGGATCTGTAACATCAGAGACGCGAAATCTGCTTTGACTCACCGCTATGGTCCACGAAGACGCCGATGTTATATGACCCAAATGAAAAAAAGAAGCATTGCTGTTGTTGCATCTTGATTGCAATGGACATTGCACGGACGCATGCAATATGTATACCTATCGTACGCGGCGTGTCTACGTTTGTGAATCCACTAAATCACATACACATTTTTTTCCGGCTATGTGAACATTAATACCCATACTCTTTTTCGAAAAGCTCAAACCATGTTATAGATAAATCAGTACTTCAACAACATTGTCGAACCCAAGATGTATCAGCATCATTTCCGTGCAAGCAGCATACACTTTGACGAGCGGCAACGTAATCAAACAGTGGCATCTATTTAAACATGCGAAGGACAATTCAAGTGTAGTAATTCTGTTTAAACCAACTTAGAAAATTTCGGAAGGTATCAAACATTCAAAAGAACGGCTTAACAGATGTTCATGGTTGAATTTTTCAACCACCGCAAGAGTTAGTAAACAAAATTATCGATTGTATGCTTTATCAATTTGGCATTCAGTTTTCTTGCATTTTCATTCTGTTGGACATCACTTTCCTCTTTGGTATCTCCTGACTTAAACTTATTTTAGACGAGAGAAATGACATTCCATCTTAGCATTCTGCAACTGCTGTTGGAATAAAACCGACCGCTTTTTTTATACAGCTTTTGCTAGGATTCAGAAGCCGTGGGGCATTAACGATTGTACTCGTTGCGATACAAATGGTTGGAAAGGAATAACGTGACGAAATCGCTTCAATTCTTTCTTTTTCCCGTCAATGTTTTCAGCCGTGCTATGCTATGTTACCACCCTAGTATCTACCTGTAGAAGGGCATGAGGTGATGGATTAAGACTAAGATTGTATGACAAGAATACATTGCAGCTGTCCTATTTGCACAAGTATATATGTCATTCACAATGAAGACGGGCTGTTTTTGATGGCACTCCTAACTCTTAGTTTCTTGCATTTACACCCTAAGTTGATCCGCGTGCTTAGCTTCCGTAAAGCTTTATACCGTAACCGAAAACCAGGCAAGGTCTTCGAAACATTGGGCCTTCCATTTGGTCCTGCTGCAGCTTAAACATTGAAGACAAGGCTATGCTTGACAAACTTCGCCAGGATACGTCCCGAATGCATATGCGAGGTGGACAACATTCTTCGAATTGTCCAGTACTGTACCAAACACGGGCTCACGCCTTCCAGGACAATATCTGTGTGAGATCTAACTTATGTATACATTTTGCAGGATCACAATTCTGGAACTTTATCTTCTACAAAAGCGCCCAATGAAAGGCAGAATCTTGGATTGGCAGATGAGATATAAAACATCCGGAAATAACGTGATTGGAGCAAGCAAGAAAGAAACCGGGTTAAGGGGCGCAACGTAAAAGAAGCCTTTGCTCTGTGGTGGACGTGATCCAGCTGCTGATGACAGGAAGATTTAAAAAGGCGCATAGGTGGAGTGATTGCTAGAATTTGAGCAGGAGGAGGAATAACAACAACAGAGAAACAAGGGAGGCTAACCAGACACATGCCCTGTTTGCAACCCTAGGCTGGGGTAATGTGAGTATAAAAAAACAGAGAGGAAATAGAATGGAAAGAGAGGAGAAAGAGACTAGATTTATACGCTAGCAAGTATCTGAAGCAAGCTAAGTAGCAACTACCCGAAAAGTCACGCAATGCATCCTAGAAGAGTTTTCAGCTTAAACGGCTAGATTAACAAGCACATGCACACACATGCCCGAACTGCTCTTACCGGCCGCCAAGGTGCGCACTACGTGAGTGCCCGACGGGGGTCCCGGTCCCTTGGCGTTGAAGGCCTGCACGAGCACCTCGTAGCGGGTGTCCTTGTCCAAGCCGGAGAGCACGCCCTCGCACTCGTGCAGCGTGTGGTAGCGCAGCGGCTCTGACGTGCCCTGCCGACGGTAGGCGACGTAGTAGCCGTCCACTCGCCCGTCACCGCTCTTGCTGCTGCTGCCCGGTGGGCTGGAGAGGACGGGTGCTGGTTGCGGGGAGGGAGAGACACATGCTGGTTCGACTTCCACGTGCGGCTTCTCAAAAACATCAACGAAATACTTGGCTAAAATCAAGTTCCTCGTATGAGTTATATCTAAAGATTGAGAAAAGACGCTTAACCCAGCTGCCTCAAACTAACCTCAGCTAGCGGGCCGCTTTCACGAAATGTAGTCTACCGCACGTGAACGAGATGTCAGCTAAAGTTGCCATGTGAAAGATGGCATTTCTCGTGTTTCGGTATGAATTCATTGTTCAGGAGATTAACTGATTGATATGTGGGGTTTAACGTAGTTTGCAGGCCGATGCTGCCATATCTCATAAAGAGGTCATTTGTGACGGATATATGATGCCAGTATTTCCGCATAGTGATATCAATCCCCAAAGTGGTGACTCAAATCTGGACGCTGACTGCGAAAGTGAAAGATAATTTTCGTTTCCTGGTTGAGTATAGTGGTTCTTGAAGGAAAGAAAAATGGAGCTACTTTCCGTCCTAATTTGCGGCGTAGCTAAGCTTCTTGTAAGGGATGAGGTAAGGGGATAAAAAAGAATAGAACAAAGAAAAATATATAGAAGATGGAGCACTCGCCACCCACGACTGAAGAAAGGGGAAACAAGAGAGAGGAAAGATGGGGCGCACGGCCGAGGGTGTCCGAGGATGGGGAGCCGAACAGCCAGAGCTACACGGCACAAGCAGATTGCGGACGGCGGGCCAATCGGCGAGAGCTACGCTGGTGTCGGATACTGCGGACGGCACAACCATTCAGCACAGAATCCACCAAGCGACTCCAATGGCTATGATTTGGAACAAGGTAAACGCATGTGATGCATCACGCAACAATGCCTTAAACAAGTCAGGTCGAAAGTTAGATCGCAAGGGTTTAGTTTGTAGGTCCTTACGTCGTGCAGGCGGATACGGCCTTTCGTCCTCTGATTGACCTTTTACCATCCCGCGTGCCTCCGCATATAGTCCTGCTTTGCCATATTTAGAATTGATATTGTGGACTTCGGCGTCCCTCAGACTAAAACTTCTAAAACTCGTGTGAGTGTAGTAGACTTGAAGCAAGACCAGTGACTGCAGTTATATGCCGACGTGTTGACGCATCGGCGTTCACCTTTGCAATCCCCGAAAGAGCGACAACATTTTCAGAAAAAGAGAAAGAAAATACGTCAAGTGGCGAATGGGATAGGTTACATGCTATACGTTTACTCGCCATCATTACAGTTCAGGCATATATATATATATATTTATATATATATATATATATATATATATATATATATATATATATATGTGTGTGTGTGTGTGTGTAGCCTACTTGGCATTGCTACGGACAGGTCTTTAGAGCAGCAGCTCTATAGGCCCCTGCCTGTACATTTCTCACACGCGTCTGTGAACGTACTGCGAAGGGAAGTAGTGCGTGTCCGTGTCTATGAGTAACTTCTACGAGGCCATGCAACTGTACCTCATTTACACTCGTAAACTAGAAATTCGTTTTTGTGCTTTGCTGCTGTAACCTGTAAAGAACCCAACTTTACAAAAAAAAATAATTGCTATGTTTACAGACGACCATTGGTGAAGTTAGTGAAGCAGCATATTCTCGAAAGTACGGAATTTACTCACCTCGAATTTTACTGCTATACTTGTGGAGTCGATAGGCGTGAGGTGAACGTTACTCGGTGCACTGCGAGGAGCTGCAACGACACAGTAGTAGAGCAAAGCTACGGATATATCACTTGCACGTGAATTAAAGAAACGAATAATTATAAAAATATTAACACATACGTCAAGGATTGAGCTCAGTATTAAATGTCTTGTAAATAGACAGTGAATCGGCTCAACATATACAGATTTCCAATTTCATTGAACGCATTTTGTTGATATTATTGTAAGCATCTATTTTGTGCTTCATTTTAATCTGGACAGCAGCCAATCATCATCACTTGTTCTGGCTGACAGTCATCATCGTTTGACCATCAAATGAATTTAAAGGGTCAAATTATTAGTTTCTCTTTTTTTTTCTCGCATTGCCACACACATGTCTAAAGTCGCCAAAGACTGCTCTGACAAACTCTTTTATTTGCCAAAGTCAGCCAATTTTCGCATATAATATTCGATGCATATAATTAAAATGTGCAATAAGCACCCGATGACATATGTGAGTAGAATGATGAGAAGTATATTACCACATGATAATACAGCATTAAAATAAACCTACCGAAGGGCTGGCTGTATTGATGAACGAAAAGGAACACCAAAAGTTGCGAATTTAGAGACAAAAAAAGAAATGTTATGTTGTCACAGAACGAGCGCTAAAAATGGGCGCGCCGCCAAATTCTTGCGATAACGCGCGGGAGAGAGGCCGGGAGGTCAAAAGAAAAAAAAGGAAAACAAACATCCAAGGCTCCCCGGGCGCGCGCTCTCCCCTTGGAAGCGTGGCTTCGCCGACGAACCTCCTCACCCCACAACGGCGGTTGAGCAAGCACTGGATTTTTCTAGAAGGAAAGAGGCGTGGTCACGCCGGGTTGAGTCATCCATCGCGGAGGGCATTCGTACAGTCTCGCGCCTCTCCCCAGCCTTCGTTGCGTATCGCGCCGACGAAATGACGAGAACTTTCTGGAATGTCGTGCGGAAGGTATTTAATCGAGCGGCCGAGACGAGAGACCAGGAGAAGACGGAAGTTAGCGCCAGAGCGCGTAGGGATTCCGCCGTGTAGTCGGCGAAGGTTTTGTCTACAGAGACAAAGCAGGAGAAGAAGAAGAGGATTTCCACCTGAGGGGTGAAGGCTCGAGCTACAGGCAAGAGCGTGTGTCTACCGCTATCGAGCGAGGACGCGTGGCAACAGCTGTGTGTGTGAAGCCGACGTGTTTCCGGCGAAGAAGTTTGAAGCTTGGAGAGAGGCCAACTGAAGACGTGAGGTTTCCTGGGAGAGAAACTTCCCTGGGGCAGCGGAACGACAGCAACGCTGGACTTTGAGTGAGTGATTCTCGGAAGAGTATGATCCAGACTTTTCTTCCAAGAACTTTGGACTGAATAGGTTTTTTTATCTCTTTAGTCTTTAAGTGTCTTGGCTGTTCAATAAATGCGACGGCATATTAGTGCGTATTGTTGTCTGTGTCCATTGTTTCGAGTGTGGCTGATTGTACTGTGTGATACGTTGTTTGATTGGTGGCGTATTGTATGCAACTATTATGGAGTGTGCACTCTTGTGTATTGTTTTCGATCTGCCATTACTGAGAATATAATTTTGTTTGTTTATCAACTCTCGGCTCTGACTTGTTCTTTAAGCCACAGCCGGCGTCCGCTGGCGCGCCAAGAAGGACCACCTCTAAATTGTCCACGCTTTCGTGGTGCGGTTCGGGGGGCCGATACTTCGGCCCTTGGAATTAGCCCGGCGATAGCCTCCCTAATTAACGGGACCAGTGTGACATATGTACACAAATATATTACACATGTGCTGTATACCCGTAGCGGGGGGAAGCATATCACAGAAATTACAAGGCGGAAGAAGGTGGGTAATAAAAATTCCAGATATCCAAAGAGTTTTTAGCGCACACAGGCACTGTGCTATGGCATGTTCTATTTCTAAAAGATCGAGTTGTTCTATAGATTTTCGTCTCTCGATATGCACAGAAGGCTGCATCTTCTCATGGTATTCATAAGGACGCCACGTAACATCCTTCCGCTGAATATGCTAGTTACCGGGGTTTATACTGAATATACTACTTGAGTACTAGCTTACGAAGCGACACCTTTTCTGGCCCGAAAACGTCCAAACTGACGTTCCCACTTAAGTGTACCGGCTGCTGCATCAACTTCTACACTGCGACGTGCTTACAAACAGAAACACTTCGATGGCGGATGGCTGTTTTTGCAGATATGCTCGGGATGGTATATATCAATGTTTACGCCGAACAGGCGCCTCCATGTGCAGTCGTGCAACACTATACCCTATGGCTCGGTCACCCTTATTTAAAACAGGGCAGCTGCGTCAGAAAATATATGTATGGCGGCGTGAGGCCCTTGGGTGTAGTGCCCGCTGCTTTCTCCGAGGATAACGGTAATGTGGGCAATCAGAGTCGCCAAGCGAAAGGAAGCGAATGGACCATTGCTCAAGCAGTGCCGCTTCTGTAACAGTTAGGGAAAGTAGGGGGAGGTGATAAAAAAAATGACTTGTTATAAACATCAACGAAGGGCCAATATGACTCTATAGAGGATGATATTGCCTATCAGATGGTCAAGTAATTGTGCAGACAAGAGACAAGATACATCAGTACAGATATCAGCCAGCCAAACATCCCTGCGACGTCGCATATATCTGCCGCGTCATGTTAGGAAACTACGGGCCCTTTATTTATTTTTTTGCGTTTCCTCGGCGAAGTTGATGTAATTAACATTAGCAACATCTGACAACGCGTGCGCGCACACACAAAAAACACCCTCGCACACGGGCACGCACAGACTGAAAAATAATTAAGGAGTGCACAGGGGTGATACAGAAACGTTCTTAAGCATACGGCTTAGACTTTGCCGAACTTAACGAAGTTGAAACGTCGCGTTTCCCGAAGCTGCGCTTAATGGTAAGCTGCTATACTCTCAAATTAATGGTCCCTTGTTTTGTGCTATTATTTCATTCGACGCTTGAAAGCTTAGGTAATAGTTTTCATTCGGCAATTCACTGGAGGGCCACTTACGTTCGTCGTCGGTGTGCACCTCCAGCGGAGAAGTGTAATCGCCGGGCCCCAAGGCGTTCTCCGCTCTCACAGGTGAACAAGTACGACGAGGAAGGCTCCAGTCCCCGCACGGTCACCTTGGTCTCGGTGCCTGACACAGTCACGCCTGTCTTCCCACGTGCCTGTGCGAAAAGCGAAAACGTGAGTCCGCTCAGGAAATTCACTCATTCCTAAAGCAAGCTTACTGTTCATTGCAAAGCAGCCACATGTGACTAACGTATCGCCATCGTCGTCTGCACATCATTATACGTTCGTTCTCAACACAGCAATAAATTAGGCTGATTTGTGCGCATTCTTATTTTTTGTCAATATACTGCAATGCGCCAACTGAACACGATATGGAAACCTACAAGGTGTTATATCATTCCCCTAGGGCGACTCAAAGTCTAAAGCCACCTTTCTTTTATTTCTTTTTAGTTAATGTATCGATCTTTCTGCACTAGCCTTTCTGTACATAACCTCGTTTTGCACTAGCACTGGGATCCCAGGCGTTTCAAGCTTTGAAAACCTCACATGAGCTTGCACTGCGTCCGCGATCGGCACATGTTTGACAAAGCAACGATGTCATGTGACGGTATGCTGTGTTACGTGAAGATAACGTCATAAGTTCAGTGAATATATGACATCATATGGGGACGTCATCGCATTATGGTTATTTCTTGCATCAAACTCGTTTTAGCATTGACGATGACGACGGTCAGTTTTTTTTCTGTTTTATGGGGCATCTAAGGCTTTTCCCTTAATACTGTTAATGAAAGCAACACCTAAAAGGCAGCTTGTGTCTACTTCTAAGTATTATTTTTTTGTTAGCATGTCCCGGTACGTTTACTGCGAGAAATTGTGAAAGCACGTCTTCACAGACAGCCACCATATCAGTTGACACAAAGGTAATCGCTCATTGTGAAGTAATACGAAGCAACAAGGTGACGACGTACCCTCCTTGTTTATCCATCGCAGAAGGTACTGCGTGATGGGCATGTTGCCGTTGAAAGGCTCGGTCCAGGCAAGACGCACGAACCTGCTGGATGCCTCGGTCACTTGGGGGTTATCCGGTATTCCGGGAACATCTGTGAAAAGAGAAAAGAGAGAAAGTAGAGAGGTTAAACAAGCAGAGAGTTGTTTTCATTATTTTCCAGTGCCCAAACGAGAATAACAGCCTTTACGTGAAAAGCGTAAAACCCTGCTAGACTGAATGCATAGTGCTCATGTTTTCCGCGTTTTTATGTTAACATTACGCATTTACTCGATTGTAACACGTGAGGGGTGTGAGAGGTGTAATGTATTGAATGATATTTAATTGCGTACAAAAGAAAAGTAGAAAAAATAGTAGTATTTTTGTTATTTCTGTATTTCATTGTAAAGCGCGGATCTACTTAAGGTATAGTGAAAATCTGAGGGGAAAATATCTCGTTATATTCGAGTAAGGCAATAGATGAAGAAGAGATAGCGTCTCTAGGAAGGATAGTGAAGACGAGTAAGAAAACCACTATCTCGTATTCAACGCCGAATGGATTAGAGGCAGTTTAAAGAACGGCTTACCTTGAACGACGAGATTAATGTTTGTCGTGTCCTCTCCAAAGTCGTTCGATGCATGACAGGTGAACAGGGCGTTGTCAGACTTTTGGTGTCCCTGATGGTGAGCGTGGATCTCGCACTGCTGGCCTCAGCGTGCTCGACCTGGGAATATCTGCAAATGAGGTTATACGCTTGCCGCTCACTCGCGAAAGCACACACAGCGAGGTGCACGCTGCTTCAGAAGTGCAAATGCTGCACACTTACACTTACCATGCAATTAATTACCCTTCATTTGAACAAAACACCAATTTTCAACATGTTAGTAAACTGTCTGGAAGCTCGTTATCTAGGCTTACAGTCTGTATTCGCAAAATAATCAACACTTTATAACTTATATAGCCCTCTACGCTAACCAACAATATAGGTAAGCAACAATAATAACAAACAAATAATGCGTTCACGAGCACAAAAGCACCTGTAGGATTGGTTTCGCGGAAGTTCAATAAACTCCCTGGTCGCACCAGCACCATACTGAGGTGCTTGCTGTCAGTGCATGCAAACTTCAGTTAAGAAAAGTGACAGGGCTGTAAACACGAGCAATATGACTCTTTTTTATTAGACACGGAAAAATAATATTGAGCAGCAGCTGTTTCACTGCTCACAGCTCCTTCAAGATAAAATGCCCTCATTAAAGCTATGAAATGTGGAGGGGCTCCGCGGAGACTACACTCACTACCCGCGGAGCCTACATTTTCGGAAGAGAGCTGTATCGCCTACGTTGAAGTTTTATAGCGAGGCCGATGCTCCTGGATAGTGGTGACGTTTAGCACCGCTTAATAATTACTATTGTGGAATTGATGTTGGAAGAGCATAGACGTAATGCAGATTTTCCCCGTCTGCCTACCTCTTTCATTCTCTTTCAACAGCGGGCCATGCTTAAGTTGCGTGTAACTGTGGCATAGCTACTCCGTACAACTTCATACGAGATGCTCGAGCACAGCAATCACCTGTCGTGTACCCTTGCAGTATCAAATATCCATGCTTTGTGAACACAATACCTCTCCCCCTTGTTAGTACCTGTGATCACCGATGGCCGCGATCGGGACGCCATCTTTAAGCCACCAGAAACGCATGGGCGTGTCGCCGGTAGGTTCGCACTGCAGGTGCACTGTGCTTGCCCGCTTTGCCGATGTCGTAGACTCCTTGGGGGAGAGCCGAGGGCTGCCTGAATGGAGACGGTGGAAAAAAAAAAGAAAAAGAAAAAATAAGAACTGTCGACTGGTATAAGCGCTTGGTAGTCTGCCTTCTTCCAAATTTGCGAAAGAACAAATTCCGCACTTTCGTCCTGCGCTATATCCGTGAAAAATCTTTGGAGGCCCGACAACGGAAAAGTTGACTTGAATTAACACGTTTTATTTTGACCCATAGGAACCAATACAAGAGCCAGAGTTGTTAGCGGGATGTGGATTAATTAATTAACCAGACTGGCAAATGAAGTTATGCCAAATAGGGCATAAACCTAGCTGCTGCGCTTACGCTAGTGGCACTTCAAGTATTCACAATGCCTTTTAGTCTTGTTTACTTTAATGCACATTTGTAAAGCTTCCGTGAGTATAAAGTACTCAAGTAAAGTTATTTTCATCCAAAACTTCTTAGGATTCGTTATCTCATCTTTTCCTTAACTTTCTATGCACTCTATCTGCTTTAAAGGGCACAAATTGGGAAACAGGGTGAAGGATCACTACAATAGTGGCTTGAAAATATTAGGCCACTTTGTCTATCAAATGCACTAAAGGCACAAAACTGATGAAGAAAACGCCAAATGAGGATAAATTTGGTTTGAAAGAGCGATTTCCGGAAATATTCAGGCAAGAACTTCGCTATAGACATCAAATGCAAGCAGGTCTACTTCTAGGAAGCGTATTATACGTCTTTCTCTATCAGGTCGGAAAATTAAGAAACTCGAGCCAGCCAAACGATAAGACAGGTGCTGTGTCCTCTTGGTTTGGTCAGTTCGACTATTTCTTGATTTTCCGTGATACGGTGTTCAACTACATTGACACAATGCTTTGTGCAGACTAAAGCGATTTTTGAGAAAAAGCATCGGTGACTCTAAGAGTACCGGTGCCCTTTCCGTCAGTGTGATCAACCAGTGAAAACGGTTATTCGTCCGACATATTACTCGTTCATTCCTATTCTTGTCCTGTGGGTTCATTTCTGCACTAACTAGTCTGCTTAGCGTTGGCCAACCAATAACACGGCCAAACCGCATCCCTTCTGCGCAAAAGAGCCCAAGACGTGGAAGCAAAAGCGACGCTCAGTACACAGTTTCTCTCACTCACTGCGAACGGTGAGGCGCACCACCTTGGAGAGTTCAGCACCGACGCCGTTGGAGGCCTCGCACAGGTAGAGACCCGCGTCGCCATTCTCCAGACTGCGCACGCTCAGAGATCCGTTGACGAGCACGTGCACTCGGGAGGTGCTCACCAGGGCGCGATAGGGGCCACTATCTCTGCCTGCGATGTGACCCCGGATGGTGCATAGTGCATTATTTCGATTGTCAAAGTGTAGAGAACGTGCAACTTCTTGCTCCTGGGAGAAAGTAGTACAATCGCGCGAAATGACAGCAGGTGAATTGCTTTTGATAGCGCTGGCAAACTCGCGTCTTCGAAGCATCTGCATAGCTTTTAGCCTGCAGCTTAAAAGTAAGAGTCGCTATTTCTACCCATGCCTACCCCACGTAAACATTCAGTAACCGCTGTAAAGCAACCCAGAAAATGGGTGGTTCTATTTATTTACTTGTGTGGTGCTTCACAAACTAAATAGAGCTAGATTTAATTATTGAAGGTTTCTGATCACCTATAGCATCGAAAACAATGTTTCGCAAGGAAAAAAATTACTTTTTATATCTTCTTATGTTTATATCTGCGCCAGACGTTCAAGTGAAATCTGAATGTGACATCTTTATTATTAACTTAACATTTTAAATGCAATGTACGACCATTCATTTCTTCAAAACGCGCTTGTCAACAATCAAGTAGACAGTTCTTAAAGAAGAACAGCTATTTGGGCTAGTTGCTTAAGTTCCATTGTATTAAGGGTTGCAGCGCAAGCACGAAAGTGCCCGAAGAAAAGTGAACGAAGGGCAGGGAACGGACAGCAAAAAGGAATGCGTCGACGTCCTCGTGAAAGGTGGGTGTCGGTCGAGATTTGTGAAGCGTCTGAAACCACTCTCTATAGGTTCCTATCTACGAATAATCTGCGTGTTCTTCAAAAAAAAAAAAGAAACAGCGCTTGTGTTGTCCCCTTTGCCTAGCGTTCCTCGACCTCCGTTCACTTTTCTGCTAGAACTTTCGTGCTAGCGCTGCAACCCTTAACAAATAGAGATTTTTTTGCGCTACATTTCGTGAGAAATTTTGTACATATTAAACGGCTACAGTCAATGTTCTGCCAGAAAAATGCAGCTGTACTGTAGCAAATTTAGGCATGGACACTTCAAGTCTGAATAAGGGTTGCTGTAGGAATGAATTACATGCACGTATTTTCTGCAGTATGCATTTCACCTTCACAGTATACAATAGCGTCACCAGCAGCCTAGCTGCAAGTGTATTTTATTTAACCGATAAAACAGACCAAACTGTGCACTGGCAAAAGTCAGTAGATAAAAAAAAAATCTCGTATAGCGTTTCAAATAGTGAGCGTCTCACGTGTTCTGTGCATGCTTTATTAATCATTCATGAATGCTTTCACAATTGCTTCTTCTGACAGATTGTAGCCATGCCGCAAAGGCAACTCTAGTGAATTCTATGCAGTTCTTATGGGTACTTCTTCACGTGGTGAATAAACGCTATATGCGGTAAAACATGCGTGCTTTCGAATGACGAGCTATCAAAATGAAATGCACACACGCCATCATGGCACAAGTATATACCTAATTTTTCCAAAAACAAAGAAGAAAAGATTGAGTTTCCAAAGTTTGAGGTGTATTCTATTGCCTCGGATAATTGCTTCGAATGATGCAACGACTGGCGGAGCCGCGTGCCTCAACGAGCCCGTTTATAATCCATCACTCGCCAGAATAAGGAGGCAATTTAACACGGGTAAAAATAAACGACCAATCTCTACGAAACCTGCTATCAGAATTGCAGCCATCCGTCTTTGCTAAATCTCAAGAGGAGCGAGACGCCACTGCGAACAATGGCTTCTAACAGCAGGGCGATCATTAGAATGCACTAGGCTCGTAGAAGGAAACCTATACTCTAAACCTAAAGGTAAGAGCGTTGCACGTGCTTATTATCTTTACAGGTAGGTTGCTTGTCGCACACAGGCGTGCAGATAAAGATATTCGTGAGTCCAACGCTGAAACGGTTCAGGCGAAGGGGCGAAAGAATGAGAACACGATTGTAAAACTAAAGAAAGAGAGAGAAGGTGCTGGAACAGGTACGCGAAAAGCCCGTATGTTTAAGCTAAGAGCACCTGTGCCGTTTTTTAATGTATTTTCTACAGCGAGAGGTGTTGTTCCACACTGACTTTGAGCAAGATATAAGACTCTTATTAAAGCTCCTGGCAACGCCTTACGTCATAGCTTGCAAGAAGAAAGTGTTTCATTTCAATTCGTGTTAGTTTTACTCCTTCTTTTTGTGTTTTGCGAGGTGGTGCATGTGTCGCTAGACACCCGTGAGACACCGGTGAATACTCTTCCTGTTTCGTCTCTGTAAACACGCTTCTGCCGAAGCACCCCGCCTAAATGCGCCGTTTTATTTGCTCCCGCTCTTTTTTATCATTTTACATCCGCGAGACGCATGCCTGTTCCTCATCCTTCCATTATTCATTTCTGGAATTCAATTTTATCAGCGTTGCGAGTCGTCCTCCGAAATCAAGTTCGAAAGAAGGAGGGATGCCAGCACTACTTGCACCGAGTGCGCCGCCTAGGAGATGCGGAATTTATGTCGGCATATGTCCTTAAGAGCAAATCGATGCGCGGGAATGTAACAGCTGTGCCTCCGAGAGCCACGCCATTCTCCTCACGTTTTATTCCCGCACCGTCATGCAGGGCCCTGCCCTTTTTGCTCACCCCCTCCCCCATTTTTTTCTTTCGTTTCGCATCGTCTGTTTCTTTTTCGTCTGCTCACTTCTGGTTTACTTTTATCTTTCATGGCTGCGCTCCCTTCGGAGCTTCTGTGTTTGCCGGGCGTTGAAATTCCACTGTCGTCCTCTGACCCATGCCTTTCTTGTCTCTCTTGTTTCTTTTTTTTTTTTGTATACTTTACTCGTCACACTTATTTACCTGGCCATAGCTGTTCCCGGGTTTCGGGCTTCCGATTCTAGTAATGGTGGTGATATTTTTTCCCCACCCGGCCTTACTAGTCACGTCGACACGCCTGACTTCGCCCAGATTTTGCCGATTAAACGCAGTCGTCCGCAGTTTTTCACTTTTTTTGTTTATTCATTCAATCTTCGTGAACCACGCATGCGCCAGTGGTTGCCTTTGTTACCCTTTGTTTTGAGCTAAGCCCACATTTTTCTTTTTGTTCCCGCACCAACATTACACTTTTTGTTCCTTTAGTTCTTCGTAAACCGCGAATGAGCTGGTGTTTCTCCTTTGTTTTAAGCCTGGCCCACACTCTTTGTTTCTACACTAACACCGTCTATGTCAACAGGCATGCACGTGTCCTTGTTTTTTTTTTTCTCAATGCTTAGGGTTCAAGCTTTCGGTACAAATTCCCGCCGACCTGTCAGAGATGTCGCACGTGAAAACTTGCATAGCAAAAAAGGAAAAAAAACTAGCACGAAAACTCCAATCGTGCAGAAAAGACCTCCTGCTAGGAATTTTTTTTTTCTGTGAACGGTTGACAGTGCCGTAACTACGCATCGTTCAAGGAGCGTGGCGAAAAATGAAAACATATAAAAAACAGAAACGCAGAAAGGAAAAACTGAGTCATCCATACGCCGAAGACGTACGCACGGAAGCAGAACGACGTCTATCGTCAAGGGGTGTTCTTGTGGAGTGAAAAGAAAGGCCTCTGAAATAAAAAAGGCCTGACTTATCGCGAAAAAATCCGACGTTCTTCTTCTCCCACACAGGTAGTTTGAATAATAAGAGCCCTGTGAGCAGGTGGCCCGTGTGTGTATATGGCCACGGTGAATTCTCGAGGAATATGGGCGTGAGTGTAGACGCAGGTGGCTCGCTGGCTTTAAATGGCTCCTGTTGGATTTGACTTCGCCTCCCGCTATTACTATTTATGTTTTACGAAGATGCAGAAGAGGATAGCCCTCATCGCTTTTGACGACGACCATGATTGCAGGGTACTTCCGGTGCAGTCTTTTTTGCGCCTTATGTAGCGTTGATCGCCTGTCGAAGTGTAATGCAGCGATCTTACTCGTATATTCTTCCGTTGTACCTTTCTGTTGTGCGCATTTTTTTCTCCTTCTTTGTATTTTGTGTTTCTTTCAAGTATTCTCCCGTGAAACATATTTCTATTCATTGGCCACGGGAAGTTGGGGCAGGCTGTGCGCTTGACTTGATCCCACCATAATTGAAATCTCAAAGAAATTTGCCAAAGCACGGCTTCGGCAACGGCCACATTCACAAACAAATCTGTATTGAATTTAACCGCAAACATAACTTTCAAATAAATTTCTTTGCTCAAGCAAGAGACAATAAGATTATTTGGAAGTTATATTTATTCCTATATGCTCTGTTCTGTTCCAAATGTTTTGCTGTGTAGATATTGAGGTCAATACTACATCGGCTGAATAAATTCTGCAACGGAAAAAAAGTAATAATGAATGTTACCCAAAATGAACAATCAGCAATTACGGGACCCGGCAATGGGTTGTATGCACGGATAGCAAACCCGCCCTTCAAATAATCAAATATACGAGATCACCTTACAAAAATGGTGACATAGCACACTGTGCCACAGAAACTGTGCAATATGCCTCAGCGAAGGGTCACAACGTCGTATTCTTACGGGGACCCATCCGCATTGGAATAACTAACAAAATTCTGTCAGTTTGTAGTTAAAGATTTTAACAAACGATCTGTCACTGAAAATTGGTTAATGTTTAAATCTAAAATGCATGAGCTTATTAGTACTTACATTCCAACAATTACGATTGGTGAACGTAGCACATCCCGCTGGTTTAATCCTGAACTCAAGAGGCTCAAAAACAAAAAGAAACGACAATTTCGTGCCGCAAAAAACAGCAACAATCCTGTGGCGTGGCAAAAATACCAGACTACCACGAAACTATTCTGCTCTGCCATCGATAAAGCGAAGCGGCTGTTTAATAATACCACCTTGCCCAACTTACTCCGCACTAACCCAAAACAATTTTGGAGAGTGATTAACCCGCGAAACGAAAACAAATGCATATCAATAATGGATCCAACTGGACAGCCTATCGCGAATAATGCAGTAGCAGAAGAACTAAACCATACCTTTTCTTCCGTTTTCACCAGAGAACCGATTGAAAACCTCCCTGATGTCTCCCCCCACAACTACCCTACCAT